AGATGGGGGAGTGTTGAGTAGGCGGGTGTAGCAGCTCTCCAAGGGGGAAGCAGGGAGATGGGCGAGTGTTGAGTAGGTGGGTGTAGCAGCCCTCCAAGGGGTAACCAAGGAGATGGGGAAGTGTTGAGTAGGCGGGTGTAGCAGCTCTCCAAGGGGTAACCAGGGAGATGGAAGGGTGCCCATTATTGAAAGTGCATAATGACAACTGAGTAAACGATCATATTCTCAGTATTGAGTTAATAAAACAGGGTCTAATTCAGACAGTTAGAGAACCATTCTGGATCCAAAAATGCACAACCTTCCTGAAGACCACAGTCCATCATACTAGCATTTCACCAATTTAATGTGTGATCTCATTGTTCCCAGATCCTAAATATTTCCTATCACTTTGGTACAATGACGTGATTCCGCATAGTCTTTGCCCCCATTTTAAAGTAATAAATTTACAGTAATGAGGAAGTGATTCAAATGTTTTACATGGCTGGAAAAATTCCTTTGTTTTTGAAGGCAGCTTTGAAGATGAATCAGTGAGGGTTAAAGATTTGATGAGGATGTAATTAATCCAAAATGTCTCTTGGTTTTTAGACCATAATACACAGTCAGAGGAGGCGCTTCCCTTTATATTATTCACACACCAAAGAACAATTGATGAAGTGCAACAACTTTCATTATATATTGTAATTATATAAAATTAAATCTCAACTATCCTTAGCATGTACATCAGGCATAAGATGAACTTTACAGGTTTGACTTTTTCCCAAACCACATTCATAAAAAAATTACAATTAAAAAAGCCTTTTTCTTTTTTGAAATCATTTTTTATAATATATAAAAATAAAAATATGGACTACTCTTTTGTAAGTAGAGGCTTTCATTTCTCTAGGCCAGAGGAATGACTGTGTTGTTTTGCCTTTAACCTTGAAAATTTGGTTCTGCTTGTGGTTGTTAGGTTTCTTTGTTTTGCTTTGCCTCTAACATGGAGACCGTGTACTCCACCACATGCAGAACGTTGTCATGAGGTGGTTTTGCTTTGCTTTGCTTCTAAACTGGAGATGGTGTACTGAACCACGCTCAGAACAAGGTTGTGAGGTGTTCTTGCTTTGCTCTGCCTCTAAACTGTAGACGGTGTACTCCACCACGCGCAGAATGTTGTCGTGCTGTTTTTTGTTTTCCTCTGCCTCTAACCTAGAGACGGTGTACTCCACCACGCGCGGAATGTTGTCGTGCTGTTTTTTGTTTTCCTCTGCCTCTAACCTAGAGACGGTGTA